TTGTTAGACACCGTCAGGTAGTATTATACCCTTTAATCAGTGAAATTCTCCCCCACCTCTATGGATATGAAACTGTAGATTTTCCACATCTCACGTTATTTGCATTATGTTTTCACTCTCCATTTTAAAACTACACTCTCCATAAGTCGATAGTGAAAAAAATCTTGAAATGTGCTCATTAGTGACTAGTTTGGTGAGGAAATTCTCGAAGTTCTACTGAGAAGACATGATCAGCATAACTCACCCTTGTCGAATGTAGGCAGTTAACTACTGCAGACAAATGGTTGGGGTCGAACAAAATCCTTAGTTTGATTAGAGTTAGACATTACTAATGTTAAATGTCAGCCCTATGGTTCAAAGGTTAGGTTGGTAAAACTGTGACCTGATCCCCATGAGTTTTACAAGTCTTCATTTCCCCCTCTAAATAATAATAATGTGACCACTCACTATTGAGTTATCTTTTCCTAAGGAGAAACATACTCAATACTTTTTTCGGTTGTCTTTCTCAAGTCAGTGAGATGTAAATTATTCGTACAAATCTCAACTTTCATTCAATTGAAACCTTCCGATGAAGAAAGTTTCAATTAACTGAGGTGTAATTTTCCTTTAGAAAACACGAATCGATCAGCATTAGACCATCATTAGAAACCTGAAAGCCCTGGACGGCCATCTTGTCCTAGTATGGAACTAAACTAGTGGCAATGCGTATCCACAACTCTTGCACCTCTTGGGATTCGAACCCAGGACCTCTGGTCTTGTGCATGAACGCCTAACCTGGAGTCTAGTTTTCTAAAGAAATTTCAGAAAAAGAAGAACCCATTCAAATCCAGTTGGAGTTAATAAACACTGGTTATAGGCACTGAATTTCGCTGACCAGTTTACATTACTTCATCCAGTAAATTATTGTCTCTACAGTTGAAAAATATCTGCAACTCCAAACAACTTTCAAACAAAATCAAAATCACGATTTTCAATACAAATGTCAAGACAGTTCTACTGTATGGAGCGGAAACTTGGAGAACTACGAAAGCCATCATCCAGAAGATATAAGTGTTTATTAACAGTTTTCTACGCAAAATACTTCGTATTCGTTGACCAGACACCATCAGCAACAACCTATTGTGGGAGAGAACAAACCAGATTCCTTCAGTGGATGAGGAAATCAGGAAGATGTGGTGGAAGTGGATAGGACACACACTACCAAACGCACCTAACTGCGTCACGAGACAAGTCCTCACATGGAACCCTCAAGTCAAAAGGAAAAGAGGAAGGCCAAAGAATACATTACGCCGAGAAATAGAGAAAGACAATGAGGAGAATGAACAAAAACTGAAAAGAACTAGAAAGGGAAACCCAGAACAGACAGAGTTGGTTGGAGAAAACTGGTGGGCGGCCTATGCTCCATTAGGAGTTAACAGGCGTAAGTAAGTAAGTAAGTAAGTAAGTACATACAAACACTGTTCAACTGATTCATCGTTAGTCAGTCAACTAACCTGTATAGTATTGTATTGTACTTGTTTTAATACAAATAAACTATTTCATAAATTTTGTATCATTTAAATTTTGATTAAGAATTCTTTGATTAATTTTTAGTCTGACAACACAGCAGTTAATTGACAGTTCATTGTTTGAACATATTTCCAATGTTGTCATTGAAACTAACACAAATTCCTATCAATCAGTAATGATGTAGTAGATTGCTTGTCAAAAACTGTATTCTGTTTGAATGCCTACTTGTCAATCATTCATTATTTAGAAAAGATTTAAAAAATGAATTAAACTGTACTCTCAAGTTGATATGAACTATTCTCATTGCATGAATTGGATTACGTAATTCAGTTAGAAATTATAAATTTGCACTAAAAACTACTAAAAAATGTGCTTATTAGTTCAATAAACTCAATTGAATTACACAACTATTGCAGGAAGGTTGATAGGGATCAGTTAAGTTTGTCGGAAGGGGGGAAAGGGGAAAAAAAAAGGGAATTTTCCATAGTGTCTTGAGATTACTGGAAGGCATCCATTTGAAAATACTAACTCAAGTAGCATATATACAGATTTTCTTCGAGTTATCTCACATTCGATATCAGAAATAACAGAGTATGACCAGGTTTCTACCAGAAAAATCGCCAACCTGCGTCACTTATGGCGTAGGCGAGATATCTGTTTGCTGACTAAAGGACGAGTGTACTGAGCAGTAGTTCGCTCCGTCTTACTTTTTGTCTGTGAAACATGGCCAGTGAGAGTAGAAGATATTCGTAGGTTACTGGTTTTCGATCATAGGTATCTTCGAAGCATTGGTCGTATATCGTGGGACAACCAAGTGAGCAACGCTGTTATTAGGAATCGGGTGCTAGGTAAGAATGGCAGATCAATAGATGAAGTAATGAAACTTCATCAGTTGAGGTGGTTGGGACATGTGCTGAGTATGCCTAACCACCGACTGCCTCGACGAGCTATGTTTTGTAGTGTAGGAATAGGTTGGAAGAAAGTTAGGGGTGGCCAAACAAAAACATGGCAGAAATCCATGAAGTCATTGACAAGTGGACTTAGCCATGTTAGTAGTTGTCGACTACCTGGTTGGGGTCCGCGAGATGTTAATAATCGATGGTTAGATACCCTGAATCACATGGCTCAAAACCGTTTGCAATGGCGCCGTTACTTGTATTCGTTGTGTTCTCTCAAATCTTAATCTTCTGGATTCTTCAACACCTCTAGTTTAGACTTTCTAAACTTATCTCACTGAATCATACTTCTTGAATAATATCTTCTAATCCTAACCTCTCCGATTACTTCTAATACCTTTGCTACCTCTGCTACTATTAGATTTGAATTGACAATTGCATCTCTCTGCTGATGTGGTATGGCGACATGAACTGATGTACTTACGTACGAAGTTCTACGTTGCAACTGACTGACTGACTGACTGACTGACTACCAGAAAATATTTTGTACAGATTTTAATGTCATCTTGGAATGCTTTCAGAGGTTGGTGTTAATCATAAGCCAAGATAAAAAAGAAGCAGCAGAAGGATTAGACATGATGTACTTACTGAGTGGCCGCATCTTGTTATTGAGAAAAATCATGCCAAGTAACTTAAATCCTATTTCGCTACTTAGAATTCCTCGAAATGACCTTGAGATAGACAGATATCTTCGAAATAAGCGCCAGAATTTTTTTTCACTAACCTAGTGTGGTGCGAGCTACTTATAAGTAGTATATGACGTGAGTGTCAACGTAATGTCTGGCAGCAAAAGATGGGGGAAGATCAAGAAAGGAACAGTTAGAACACAATGGAATTTGTATGAAACGCATGAATAGTGAGTGACAATGGATTGATGTTTTGCAACAGGAACAGTCCATTTCGATATGATGAACTGATATTTTGCAAATTAACGGTGGTTACGATATGGTTTTCCTATTTTACTGAGTAACTCTGTAATTTTCGTTAAATACAATTGGGTTGCCCCACCTGTGTTCTCCTTCACTACACTAGTTTTATTGAAATGAATGAGATCAGTGGAATTTTTAACATAAAATCAGTTTTACAATAATAAAATTTACAGTAGTGTAGGATATTAGGGGGGAATAAAAGTTAGTCAGAAAGAGAATTTGTAAATACCCACAGAATTACTATTAATGTATATATAAACCAGCAGTATGATTATCATCAAAGTGTTTGGCGTGTAGAATTCAAAATGAAATTCTAAAATAAACTTTAGGAATTTAATTAGAAATGTTTTCATTTGGCATCTTCTTTAATGTATTCTTGAATGTACTTACTGATTAAAATAAGTTGTCAGTTGTACTTCTACACTTAGTGAAAAGTTGATTGATTTTTAAAGAGTAGTGGTAAGTAAGCATGATCTGTAAAGTCTTTTATTGAATGAAAAACTGAGGGGACGATTTGATTGTATGAATTCATAGTCAGTTAAACAATACATTTATTTAGTAAATCTTTTTTTAGAAAAAAACACTTTAGTCAATCCATAGTTCTGTTTTAAATCATGGATTGGTCAATGCTGGATCGTCATTAGAAACTTTGAAAGCATTGGATGGCCGTTTCATTCAATAGTATAGGTAGTCATCTGTAGTGAAGTTCATTTCTGTTGGGGGTGTCAAGCAATGCTGATTGAAGATAATGGATCAGGTTGCAAAAGATCATCTCAAAGACATTAACACAGTATGATGACATCCTATCGGTTTAGAGGTTACGTTTTCCCGTGCAAGATCAGCCAACCCAAGATTCGATTCCTACATATTAGGTCATGGATTGGCATCGTTGAGAAGTTCCATAATACTTAGGACGAAAAGGTCATTCAATGCATTTGGGTTTTGTTACAAATGCACGTAAACACATCATTTTGATATGCTTGAACTATTAATACGAATTTACCTTAGTCAGAAAACAAGAGCAAGGATCGAGGATCCGGTGACACGACATGCTATTCAAATCCGATTTTACCAACCCCGAATTGAGTAAAACAAGACAAGACTTGATATGAAATAGAAGCTGCATTCTACAAGCATCCAGAAATTACAAGGTCCGAGTCCAGAAGAAGACACGGATCCTGGACTGAGGACCCGGGTCCAAGTCCGGGTCATAAAACGTTACAGATAATGCGTATCTATATATATTTAGGTCGAATAAGAAACAGCATTGAAGTCTGTGACATTGACAGTTAAACCGACCAATAGGAAAAAACATTTTTGAACTGACACTGATCGTCAGGACAACCAATAAGAAACAACATTAAAGTACGTGACATTGTTAGCTAGGACGACCATCCTATTGACCAATAGGAATCAACCAATCGACCAAAATGATTCTTCGTATGATAATTGGTTAATATCCTGACGGGTTTTCAATGATGATCTAACATTAATCGATATATAAGTAGTATATTGAAATATGGATTAAAATGTTCTTTTAATCGTTAAAAAGTTTATGTATTAGTGAGTTTTTTTTTAAGGGAAAAGTGTAGAATAAAACACTTACCATTTTACCATTTAATTCATGATAATGAATTGAACAAACTTTTTCAGCTGCTTGTTCACTTTCAAATGTCACAAATCCAAAACCTACAAAAATCAAAGGGGGAAAAAAATCAATAAGTAATATATAATGAATAGAGAGTTATGGGAGATTGTTGTTTAACACTGAAAAATCATGAATGAATCAGTTTATTAAACTAGCATTAGTAGGAAATCTGGAAGCACTGAAAGACAGACGTTTAGTTCAGGTATATGTGTTAGGATATTCCCTGAATAATATCCTACGAGGAATTATTTTGTGTGTAAATTCTATTGGTCGATTCTTATTGGTCAATATTATGATGGTCTTGACTATCCATGTCACATACTTCAAATGTTTTTTTCCTATTGGTCACATTAACTGTCAATGTCATAGACTTCAATGCTGTTTCCTATTCGATCCGGATCCGGACATGGATCCTTATCCTCTTCTGTACTCGGACCTTGTACTTTCTTGATGCTTGTGGAATACAATATGAGACTCATCGGCTGTACTCATCCACGACTCCTGCTAAGCTAAGGACCAGTGGAGTTGACTTCTGTCAGTTGTAGTCAATAACTACCAAAGACAATGGTTGAGGTCGCACGAAATTCTTAAATTGATTAGAGTTAGACATTACGAATGATAGATATCGGCCCTATGGTTCTAAGGTTAGGCATTCGCGCGCAATACCAAAGGTCCTGAGTTCGCATCCCGTAAGTAGCAGGAGTCGTGGATGAGCACAGCTGATTTGTCCTATACTGGGACGAAACGGTCGACCAGTGCTTACTGGTTTCTAATAATGGTCTAACAATGAGTGATTCATGATTCCAGTGTTGGAATGTATTTAGAAAACTTTTTATCTTTATGATTTTATCTCTCAATTGATAAGTTTGTCTTTAAGGTTAGAATATCAGTCAGTGAGTAAGTCATCTACGGTGCGGAACTTCGTGTATACGTACGTACATCAGTTCAATTTGACATTCTAAATTAACACACAGAGAGATGATGATTGTGAATTCAAATCCCATAGTAGAAGTATTAGCAGTAATGGAGAAGATTAGGGTTTGAAGTTATTATTCAAGAAGTATAATCCAGTCAATTAAACTTAGTAAGAAAAAATTATAGAGGATGAGGAATTCAGAAGATTAGAATTTGAGAGAACACCAAGAAATAATGCACTTGTGCCATTGAAAACAGTAGGAGTCATGAATCCATCAATGCTAGCTTAGCTGCGCTGGACATCCGTTTCTGCCTAGTATGAACCTCACCAGCAGTGTGCATACACGACCTCAGCACGCGGGAATCGAAACCACGATCTTCACGGTCTCGCACGTGAACGCCTAACCTCAAGAACACTGAGCCCATGGCATCCTACCAAATTATTGTCTAACTTCAATAAATCGACAACTTCCTGAGAAAATTTACGAATTTCTAGTGAGAAGTCATGAGCAGTACAATTCAGCCAGTTCGGGTGTGCGGCAGTTATCCAGTAAATACAATAGATAAAGCCGCACAATACCGTGGATCGAGTTAAATTAGACATTAACACCGTTGGCCACCATCGACTGATTGGTTTACAGGTTATTTGCACGCTAGATTCAATGTCCTTCACTACATTTGGTTTCGCTGCCTGCTCGAAGGAAGGAGCTCTCGTGGCCGAAGGAGTCGGAGGACGGAGATCTGCGGAGCTTCCTGGAGAAGTTTGAGGCCGCGGTGGAGCTGGTGGGTGTGAAGGGGCCCGGGGCGGAGTTGGCGGTGCTGGTAACGCTGCGGGGTGGTGCGGCGAAGGCGGTATACGATAGCCTGCACGGCGCCGCCGGGAAGACGGCGTAGGAGACGGTCACCGGACGGCTGATGACGGAGTTCGACAGCCCAGTGGACAGGGAGGAGGCGCCGCAGGAGTTCCGGTTGACGAGGCTGTCGGCCGACGGTGACCCGCTGGTGCTTGTTGTGGAGCTCACGATGTTGCTGCGCCGTGCACTGCCGAGTATGGATGAGGAGACGGAGGCACAGTTGTTGGCGACGCAATTCATCGAGAGTGTGCCTGCCGTCGTGTCCCAGCAGCGGGAACTAGTAAACACTACACGTTGGATAGATGCCGTACCCATTCGAGACCAGCGGGCAAGAACAATGACCGAAGTGGTAATCCGGCATATTGTAGCGTGTCACGTAATACGGAATGTGATATTAACTGACCAGGGTCCCCGTTTTGAAAATGACGAGTTTAAAGCCCGTCTAAAGCAGCTGGGCATCAAGAGGATACGAACTGCACCGTATCATCCGCAGATAAACGGGCTTACACAGAGAAGACATGAAAAAGCGCGTAAATGCTAGTCAACTGTAGAGATGGTTTCAAGATTATCAAGTGTATGAGTCACGAAAAGCACCAAAGATGACAACGGTACGGCAATCAGAAAGACTACGACGATAGCTTATTAAAAGTGGGGACGAGAGTGGTGCGAGTTACTTACAAGTAGTATATGACATGAGTGTCAACGTAATGTCTGGCAGCAGCAGAAGATGGGGGAAGATCAAGAAAGTAAGAAGAGTGGGAACACAATGGAATTTGTATGAAACGCATGAATAGTGAGTGACAATGTATTGATGTTTTGCAACAGGAACAGACAGTTCAGTTCGATATGATGAACTGATATTTTGCAAATGAACGATTTACGATATGGTTTTCCAATTTTACTGAGTAACTCTGTAATTTTCGTTGAATACAATTCGGTTGCCCCACTTGTGTTCTCATTCACTACATTGCGTGTATTCACGGGTCGTGTATACGTACTGTGGATAAGTCCTACTACACTAGGACGAAGCGACTGTCAAAATATTATATATTTTCCAAACTAATTATTGGATACATGAACAAAAATATAAATAAATATTAATCATATTTCATACAGTTTATTGGTTTCACACAGACATGTAATCAACAATATTTTAAGAATTTATTCAAAAATTTTAGTGTGTACAACACAAAGTGATTTGAATAAAAACTGTTGACATCGGTTCAATTTTCAAAAACAAGTTTAAATAAATTTTTAGATATTGAAAATTTATTATTATTATTATTATTATTATTAGTATTATGATATACAATAAATCTTAGGTCAAGGTGAATTCCAATCAAGATGGTGTTTATGCTGTAAACTTCTCTCTGTGTGTTTGTGTGTGTGTGTGTGTGCGCGCGCGCGCGTAAATGAACTGTACTTCAAGTTAGCAAATGTAACCAAAACTGCTCTTAAATATAACTCAAGAACACACAAAATAAACCGACAATACAACTAACAATTAAATTGTAGTTGAATTCAAATTTTATTCAAAGTGACAATGATTAAATAATTAAAACAAACTGCCATTGACTGTGAATAAATGATTGAACATTGAAAAAAAAATAGTGTGACATGTACAATTTATCATCATTTTACACAGGGTACCTGTTACTCTCGTCAGTAGGTATGCTTTGAAATTAATAACAGGTTCACCTTAATCGATAAACGAGAACGAGAAAATGAACCAACGTTCAATTCAGTCAGTCAGTCAGTCAGATGCAACGTAGAACTTCGTACGTAAGTACATCAGTTCATGTTGCCATACCACATCAGAACAGAGATGTAATTGTCAATTCAAATCCAATAGTAGAAGAGGTAGTAAAGATATTAGAAGTAATCGGAGAGGTTAGGATTAGAAGATATTATTCAAGAAGTATGATTCAATGAGAAAAGTTTAGAAAGACAAAACCAGAGTTGTTGAAGAATCCAGAAGATTAGGATTTGAGAGAACACAACGAATGAATGCACTGGAACCATTGCAAACGGTTTTAAGCCATGTCATTCAAGGTCTCTAACCATCAATTATTATTATCTCGCCTAACCCAACCAGGTGGTCGACATCTACCAACATAACTCAGTCCATTCGACAATGACTTCATGGATTTCTGCCATGTTTTGATTTGGCTGCCCCTAACTTTCTCCCAGCCTACTCCTACACTACAAAACAAAGCTCGACGAGGCAGTCGGTGGTTGGGCATACGCAACACATGTCCCAACCACCTCAACTGATGAGGTTTCATTACTTCATCTATTGATTTGCCATTCTTTCCTAGCACCCGATTCCTAATAACAGTGTTGCTCACTTGGGTGTACCAGGATATACGAGCAATGCTTCGAAGATACCTATGGTCGCAAACCAGTAACCTACGAATATCTCCTACTGTGACTGGCCGTGTTTCACAGCCATAAAGAAAGACGTAGAGAATTACTCCTCAGTACACTCGTCCTTTAGTCAGCAAACGGATATCTCGTCTACGCCATAAGTGACTCAGGTTGGCAAAAGCCAATCGAGCCTTCTACATTCGTGCTGAGATTTCGTCAGTCACCAGGCCATCGGCACTGATGAGACTCCCAGAGTTCAGTTAGGTTACTCTGATCCGTTGACTCAAAAATATTAATGAGAAGTCTAGAAATAGCGTCGAAAGTGTATTCTACAAACACCCAACCAGCACACAATGATCTCAAGCACACAAATCGCGTTTATTTATACATCATAGAGACGTCCTTGAGAGCGTCACAAAAACAGCACACTAAAATAACAAACACTATAACCAATCACAGCCAAGGATTTTCCTGGTGGGAAATGTGTGATCTTAAGGTCAACTGACCAGCTTATGAATCACGTTTCATTTGAAACTGACTAAAAATTAATTATTACTGGTTAGTTTACAACTGCACCTGGAACCCATCAGTGTCTACTACCGGTCCCAAGACCGGATAAGGGTGGAGGCTTGTGTATGGGGTTGGTGACCTCATAACCTAGAAAACTAACTCACTAAATAAACGCTAATCAAAATAATCTGGACTACTTTCGAAAATAACTTTATTGTAACCGGTTCATCATGAATACAGTTTTTGTGTATCCATGTTTGGTTGATGAAACGGTCTTCCAGACCTTCCAGGTTCTTATCCATGGTCTAACACATTGATCAATTGATCATTTCAATAAAACTGAACAATCTTCACAACTCTCAAGCTGAAAATTAGCAACAAATCATTTGTATGCGAACTAGTGACATTATTCAGGTATTCGAAACTCAATTAGGTGCATATTCGTCGAAAAATGCAACCTAATATTGTGTAGGACGTGTACTGTAGCCGTTAAGGCACTTACATAAAAAACTAAATGTTACTACATTCTGGTGCGGTGCAGATAGATGTGTTACATAGTACTGCTTATTTATTTTTTGACCTGAACCATCATAAGCAGTCGTTTGATTCCATGTAAGCCAGTTACCCCTACTGACGCATAGGCTATTGACCAGCATTCTGCAACCTGTTCTGTGCTCAGTCCTTCTTTCCAGTTGTATCTAATTGCTGTTCATTCTCTTCATGTCTGCTTCGAATTCTCGGCGTAATTCGTCCGTTAATCATCCTCTGTTGATTTGACCTTGACATTTTCAAGTGAGAGTTTGCCCTACGACACAGTTAGATGACTTCCGTTAATGTAAGTTCTTACCTCCCAAAGCGCTTTTTCGTCATTTCTGCCTAAGCCATTCGCGTTTTAATTTTCAACAAGCTTTTGAATTTCGGTTCTCAGTGTTTAAGACAGTTTTCAGTTATGTTTTTATCAAGTCAGATAAAATGATTTAGAAATATGACTAAGTCTGTCTTAAAATTATATCAAATTGTTAACTGTTTACTATATAGAGTTGTGAAGATTGTTGAGTTACTCTTTTTGAAATCAGTAATCGATCATCATTGTTAGACCACCATTAGAAACCTGGAAGCACTAGAGAGCCGTTTTCGTCCTATAGTATGGGAACTCATCAGTCGAGGGCTTAAACTCTAAATCGAATGGTGTGTAACCTCAGCCATTGTCTTTGATGTGTCACTGCTGCACACCCTACATAGGTGAAGTCCAGTGGTCACAGTTTCTCACTAGAACTTCTAGAATATCCTCATGAAGTTAGTAAGCATATTTTTATGATTTGCATCATGAGGTTGTAAAGTTGCTTAAGTTTCATTCAAATCATAAATTAATCGTTGTTAGAAGATCCTAGATTATGAATTCGGCTAGTTGGGTGTTGTGAACGCACACTGCTGATGAATCCCACAATAGGATGAAACAATTGTGTAGTGTTTTCTAGATTCCTAATAATAGTCTAACAATAATAGATTCATGATTTCAATGACATTGTTTACTGTTCATATTTCTGCTTGAATAATAAAAATCAACCATCGTTGTGACCTTTTGTTTCAGCTTAACTATCTAAATACTATCTTTCCTACTCTTCAAGCCTTTGATATCCGACTTACTAAGATACAACCAATTCCACACACACGAGCACACACACACATATACAAAGACAATTCTCTGTCACTACCGCCTTATACATGTTATAGGTCAAAAGTTCACCTCCTTCCTTCCTTCCATACAACAGAAAAACAATTGTTGTGATTTTTTTTCTAGTTTGCGCCTATTTCAGCTTTGAAAATTTCCCTGCCCCCAAAACTAATAGAAAAATGCATAATTAATCACTGTAAACTTGGATCCATGTAAGTTTGTTCACTCTGTTCACTCACTTATCCTTTTTCACATGGATTTGTCAACTGATTGTGGTGTCATTTCGTTTTCTGTTGCCTGATAGCTAACTAGTGGTTTTCTCTCACTCTGTGTGTGTGTGTTTTGAATAATGGTGACCTTGCTTTATAGTTTTACAGTTTGACTGACCTCTTTCAATCGTAGTAGTATGTAGTAAATCTGTCATTTAAATATTCAGCGTGATTGTGTTTATCGTGATAATAAATTAGTTAAATTTTCTTTCTGTGAAAAAACATTCAATGCCTAACGATGACCAGTGTCGATTAATTTGTATTTAGAAATTTAGAAATGGTAGTTAGAGATTTTAATGGGCTGTTTTAATGAAATTTCTTCAGAAAACTAGATTGGAGGTTAGGCGTTCGTGCATAAGACTAAAGGTCCTGGGTTCGAATCCCGAAGAGGTGCAGGAGTTGTGGATACGCACTGTTAGTGATGAGTCAGTCCCATACTAGGACGGGACGGCCGTCCAGTGCTTTCAGGTTTCTAATGATAGTCTAACGCTGATCGATGAAATGAATTCAAAAAAGTAACTCAATAATCTTCACAACTCCATAATGTATATTAACTGGCTCATTAGTGACCAGCAGCTCCCTGAGGGAAGAATCTCCGAGTTTTTGTGAGACGTGGTGAATAGTACAGTTCGGGTGTGAACCAGTGCTGGCTGAAGACAGTGTGTGAAGTTGCGTAAGACCGTAAATTGATTACAATTAGACATCTACCACCGTTAAATACAGGCTTAGTAGTCTAAGGGTTAGGCGTTTGAGTGCAAGACCTAAGGTCCTGGATTCGGATCCTGCGAGGTGCAGGATTCGTGGATACGTACTACAATGATAAGTCCCATACCAGGATGAATTGGCTATGCAGTCTTTCCATGTTTATAGTGGTGGTCTAACAGTAATTGATTGACGACTTCAGTGTGTAGAAACACTTATGTCCAGAACTCTAATTGAAAAAAATAATAAATATTCTAGGTATTAAGGTCTCTGATTTAGTTATTGCCTGGAATGTAACCATTTTACTCTTGGTAGCTTCCGAACTAAACTAATATCAGTATCCTAACCTAAATGTCTTTCATTGCGTCGTTTAAAATCTGTCAATACTAATGTGAAAACACTTCGATTGTACGGAGTAGGAACTTGGAGAATTTAGAAAGTCATCATTATCTAAGAGATACAGGTGTTTACTAACAATACTGTAGATAATCAGTTGACCAGACAGCAACAGTAACAGCCTACTATGGGGCAGAAAAAACCATCTCCCAACTGATGGAGAAATTAAGCAAAATGCGTTGAAAGTGGATAGGACACGAATTGCGGAAATCGTCCAACTGCATCAGGAGGCAATCCCTAACTGAGAATCCTCAGGGCCAAAAGAAAGGTTGAAGACAAAAAACACATGACACCAAGGAATCGACACAGACATTGGAAAAATTAACAACTATTGGATGGAACTAAAATGGAAGGCTAAGGATAGAGTAGGTTTTGGGAATGGTGATCAGCCACCTATGCTTCATACAGGGGAAACAGGAGTAAGTAAGTAAGTAAGTATGAACTGAGTATCTTGTCAAGTAAAATACTTTGAATTCGTTGGCCAGTCACCATCAGCAATAACTTACTGTGGGAGAGAACAAACCAGATTCCTGCAGTGGAGGAGGAAATCAGGAAGAAGTGGTGGAAGTGGATGGGACACACACTAAGAAAGGCACCTAACTGTGTCACAAGACAAGAAAGGGATGCTCAGGACAGAGTTGGTTGGGGAAAACTGGTGGGCTGCCTATGCTCCATTAAGAGGTAACAGGCGTAAGTAAGTGTGGAAGTAAGTAGGTAAGTAAGTAAGTAAGTTCATAAGTAAGTAAGTAAGTAGGTAAGTAAGTGAGTAAGTAAGTGCATAAGTAAGTAAGTAAGTAAGTAAGTAAGTAAGTAAGTAAGTTAGTTAGTTAGTTAGTTAGTTAGTAAGTAAGTAAGTAAGTAAGTTAGTTAGTTAGTTAGTAAGTAAGTGTATCTTGTCAGCATCAATCCTCGATGTAAGTAACAACACAGAATTTATAAAAATTCAACTAACCTCGATGACGACTTGTTGCTTTATCCATCATCAGTTCACATGTTTCCACCTAAAAGTTAAAAAACAAAACACAATACATCGTCTTGTAAATTTCGTATGAAATTTCACAAAAATTGATACAAAATTCAACATTTTTTTTTAAGACAATCGAACTTTCAACCAAATAATATTTACTGTTTTTAGAATGTTCGCGTATGTGTGTGTGTGTGTTTGTAGATACGTGTATACAACGTTGATAAGAGTTCAGTTAACCTAATAAATAAATACACATGAATTCTAAGGTTAATCAAAATGTTATTACAATTCAATCAAATTTAACCAAATAAATTACAGGTTGAAAATGATATTTCATCAATACGGATCTATTTGGAAATGAACGTACAAATTTGTATTACATTCCTGTGAAATCAATTATTCACTTCGCAGTTGGTGGTCTGATGATGAAACTACTAACTAAAGCATCATTGTAAAAAAGTTCATTATTGATGATTACTGTCAATCAGAAACAATGTAGAACTTGTTCTTTTATTGTTCGTACATACATACATCAGTTCAAGTTGCTATACCACATTACTACATTAACACAGAGACGTGACTGCTAGTTCAATTCCCATTGTAGTAGAAGTATCAGCTGTAATCGGAGAGATTAGGATTGGAAGATGATATTCTTCAAGAAGTATAATCAAGTGAAACAAACTTAAAAAGAGAAAGATAAAGGTGATGAGGAATTGAGAAGATTAGAATTTGAGAGAACATAAAGAGTGAATGCATCTGCGCCACTGCAAACGATATGGAGCCATGTCATTCATGTGATAGGGAGTGAAGTAGTCGAACGTGTTGATCGCTTCACTTATCTGGGGAGTCTCATCAGCGCTGAAAGCCTGGTGACTGACGAAATATCAGCGCGGATACAGAAGGCTCGATTGGCTTTTGCCAACCTGCGTCACTTATGGCGTAGGCGTGATATCCGTTCGCTAACCAAAGGACGAGTGTACTGCGCAGCAGTTCGCTCCGTTCTCCTATATGGATGTGAAACATGGCCGTTAAGAGTAGAATATGTTCGTAGGTTACTACAATTCGATCATAGATGTCATAGAAGCATTGCTCGTGTATCCTGGGACAGCCGAGTAAGCAATGCTGCCGTTAGGAAACGAGTACTAAGTAAGGATGGTAGATCAATAGATGAAGTAGTGAAACTTCATCAGTTGAGGTGGATGGGACATGTGTTACGTATGCCTAACCACCGATTGCCTCGATGAGCTATGTTTTGTGGTGTAGGAGTAGGTTGGAAGAAAGTTAGGGGTGGCCAAACCAAAACATGGCAGAAATCCATGAAGTAAGTCACTGACTAGTGGACCTAGTCATGTTGGTAGATGTAGACTACCTGGTTGGGGTCCGTGAGACGAAAGTCACCGATGGTTAGAGACCTTGAACGATATGGCTAGTAATCGTTTGCAATGACTCAGGTGCATCCATTCTTTGAGCTCTCTCAAATCCTAATCTTCTGGATTCGTCAACACCTCTTCTTTTGTCTTTCTAACCTTATTTCACCTAATTATACTTCTTGAATAATATCTTCAAACTGTGGTCTTCTTCATTACTATTAATACCTCTTCTATCTTTATCACTATGGGACTTGATTTGACATCTGCGTCTTTGTGCTAATGTGGTATGGCAACATGAACTTATGTACATACGTACGAAGTTCTGTGTTGCAACTGGCTGACATGTCATTCATGGTCTCTAACCATCGATCCCAACCAGACAGTCCGCACATACCAACATGACACGATTCAGTTGTCAATGACTTCATGAATTTGAACAATGTTTTGGTTTGGCCGCCCCTATTTTTCTTCCAGCCTACCCCTACACCACAAAACGTCGCTCGTTAAGGTAGTCGGCTGCTGGGCATGCTTAACACATATCCAAACCAGCACAGCTGACGAAGACTGTGGATTGATTGAAGCTAAACGTTACCAATGGTTAAGAGGTTAGGCGTTCTCTGCCAAGTTCGAATCCTGTGAGTAACAGGAGTCGTGTGTGCGCACTGCTGATCAGTCTCATTACAGGATAAAACGACCGAGTCCGGTGCTTCCAGTTATAAAGGGAATAAATGACAGAATCAGTAAAATTATTCGTTAAGTTCTCTATAGTAAATCTAGTTGGCAAATATGTATAGCAGATACTTTTATAATAAACGGTTACTCATAAAATTGTTCATAACTAGTGTGGAGTAGAGTTTTGTCTAGACGTTGCTACAGTCAACAGCTGAAGACAAGAGTTTAACAAGATCGAAAGTACCATATGTTCGAAATACTTCATAAACAAGGAAGGGAGTGAGAGAAGATAAGTTATAACCAACTTGAATCGCAAATTTATTTCTGTACTCACATAAATATTGGTACATAGAGGGCATGGTCTAGGATACTGCATGGCCACTTGAACTGAAACAGGTAGTTTCGTTTAGGAAGCCACTCCTTTAGCCTTCAACCTACAGGCCGAATCCACAAGGGAGTGGAGAATCGTCAGGAGATGCAGTTTCATGGTATCTGATTTGTTCCCCGCAGGAGCATGGAACTCATGTACACCACTGATATTAAATCAGGGTTTTCTAACTTCCTTGGGCTAGATCCTTCATACCGACCAACCAACCTTGTTTAAACCTTCACGTCCCTCTCAATCTCGTAGAAAACAGCCTTAATGTAAAAAGACGATGAGTAGGACTTTCCTAATAGTGTCTATCAATACATGGTCATGTGACAGTCTTTCAAAACAGGGACCCTGGTCAGTTAATATCACATTCCGTATTCCGTGACAAGCTACAATATGCCGGATTACCACTTCGGTCATTGTTCTTGCCCGCTGGTCTTGAATGGATACGACATCTATCCAACGTGAAGCGTTCACTAGTTCCCGCTGCTGGGACATGGCGGCAGGCACACTCTCGATGAATTGCAACGCCAACAACTGTGCCTCCGTCTCCTCATCCATACTCGGCAGTGCACGGCGCAGCAACATCGTGAGCTCCATAGCCAACACCAACGGGTCACCATCAGCCGACAGCCTCGCCAACCGGAACCTCTGTGGCGCCTCCTCCCTGTCCACTGGGCTGTCGAACTCCGTCATCAGCCGTCCGGTGACCGTCTCTCACGCCGTCTTCCCGGCGGCGCCGTGCAGGCTGTCGTACACCGCCATCGCCTCACCACCCCGCAGCGTCCCCAGCACCACCAACTCCGCCCCGGGCCCCCACCAGCTCCACCGCGGCCTCAAACTTCTCCAGGAAGCTCCTCAAATCTCCGTCCTCCAACTCTTTGGGCCACGGGAGCTCTTTCCTCCGAGCAGGCAGTGACACCAAATGTAGAGTGAACTCTCCTCACACTCAATCGTACCAGATGGATGATAAATGCAGAACACACCACAAATGAGGATGTGAATGATTACAGGAAAGGTGTAGATCGAAATTCACAACACACTCTTTTGACAACCCATCTATGCTGATTGTAATCATTTAAAATAGTTAAAATTAGTTAAATTAATCATTTTAACAAGGCTATTGTGTTCAATTTTTCAATGTTGAGTAAATTTCTTCTTTTTAAACAATTGTCGTCTGATTGTGTGTTTTTTTTTGTCAATAACAAAAATAAACTACGTCCGTCAGCTGATCAATTTCGCGCAGTTCATTTAAATGTCTAATTTTTTTTTGCAAAACGAAGCAAAAAGGAAAACGGGAGAGGAAATTTTCTCTAGTTAGGGAAAAAACAGAATACTTGAAGTAATAAATATTTTTCATTATGTAATGTAATTGTACAACTGTTATTGTTTTTAAGGAAAATTTTTTTTTCAGGAAAAAAAAAGAAGCAATGAAGATTTCTTATTCATATTGCATCATATCGTCAATCAGTCAGATGCAATGTAGAACTTCGTACGTACATAAGTACATTAGTTCATGTCGCCATACCACATCAGTACACACAGAGATGTAATTGTCAGTTAAAATCCAATAGTAGAAGAGGTAATAATGAAGGTATTAGAAGTAATCGGAGAGGTTAGGATTAAAAGATATTATTCAAAAAGTATGATTCAGTGAGATAGGTTAAGAAAGTCAAAACCAGAGGGGTAGAATAATCCAAAAGGTTAGGATTTGAGAGAACACAAAGAATAAATGCTCCGGCGCCATTGCGAACGATTTTGAGCCATATCATTCAAGGTCTCTAACCATCGATTATTATCATCTCGCAGACCCCAACCAGGTAGTCGACATCTACCAACATAACTCAGTCCACTTACCACTGACTTCATGCATTTGTGCCATGTTTTGATTTGGGTGCCCCTAACTTTCTTCCAACCTACTCCTACACTACAAAACAAAGCTCATCGAGGCAGTCGGTGGTTAGGCATACGTAACACATGTCCCAACCACCTCAACTGATGAAGTTTCATTACTTCATCTATTGACCTGCAATTCTTACCTAGCACCCGATTCCTAATAACAGCGTTGTTCACTCGGGTGTCCCACGATATACGAGCAATGCTTCGAAGATACCTATGATCGAAAACCAGTAACCTACGAATATCTTCTACTCTCATTGGCCATGTTTCACAGCCATAAAGTAAGACGGTGCGAACTACAGCGCAGTACACTCGTCCTTTAATCAGCAAAACATCATATCGAATTGTATTTGTATTGTAGAATATTGTAATCGTAGAAAAAGAATACAGTGATTACCAATTGGTATGAGTTTGTTGGGGACGTTAAATCCTCAGATTTGTCGTGATAAATGCTTTAATTTTGGATTTCTGTTCATAGGCTAATCAGTTGACCTTGTGGTTACACATTTCCCACCAGGAAAATCATTGGTTGTGATTGGTTACAGTGTTATTTTAGTATGCTGTTTTTGTGTCTGTCCCAAGGACGTCTCTATGGTGTATAAATAAACGCGATTTGTGTGCTTGAGATCATTGTGTGCTCTACTTTATATCAAGACTCTTTCGTTAGTTCCCTTGGGTCAGCATATCAGAGTAGCCTACTCGGACACTAGTTCATTGTGT